AAAGGGGGGAAGCATTTGAAAACTACCAACCTAGACCAATTTCCACTTTTACTGGCTTCCTATCTATGCGTGATGTACTTTCCTTACATTTCGAAATGTTCAAGCCATACATCCCCTCTAATTTACTGATAAATAGTACTGACTAGATTTGCTTTTCCAGTTGCTTCGTGTCTGTGATCTTTCTCCAGTAGACATTCCCTTGTAAAACACCAAATTTCAAAAGCAGGTGCGGAGACATGGCTTAAGATTTGGCCTTCAGAGATAAATCCAGGTCACAAGTACCTTAATACCAGGCTTCATGGAACGCCTGGGAGGCATCTCTACCCGCATTGCCATCTTGCATTTTGAGTGTCAATGAAGACTGATGTTTCCAAGTGGCAGTGGAGTAAAATCTTCCTGAGAAGCTTTTCCCAGAACTTATTCTTCCTGCTTCACAATTTGGAAAGTCTCATCGTTCACCATTATAATCTTGTTTTTCTTTAAATAAGAAGACAGTTGGGGGGTGGGGGACGTGGGGGAGGAGGTGTGAGACTGGATGCGTGGCCAATACTGGAAAACACATGGCAAAGAGTAGCAAGAACCAAGCAGGGGAAGGGCTCACTTAAAAATAAATCGGGCCAGTGGATAAACAGTGGGAAGAAATTATTCCTATCATCTACTCAGTGTAATGTCGGCCCACCAAAACACGTCTGTGTCCAGAGCTTGTCCTTCTCTGTCAATTCTTTCTCAGTGGGCATCTACCTCTTAGCAGCATCCTTGAGGTTCTATCTTACGCTGGGTTTTCAAACTCCCCGTGATTACTCCAGGGGCCTCAGGCCCATGATTCACAAACTGAATCTTCTAGCACACATGTTTTGTTTAATCTGTGCAGAGTTTGGCAATGGTTGTCCAGAACTCATGGTAGCATCCTCTGGAGCAGATCCATGTGGTCACCCGTTCCCCCAACCCCACCCAGCCTCTCTTGCTTCCCGTGTTGCTCAGCTGGCCCCACAGAGTATTTGACTTCATGACCCTGATTGCAAGAGAATTTTCAAACTGTGCTCCCTGGACTTTTGAGGGTTCTGCTGGGGTATCTCAGGAAGCCACACTGGCGTGGAGACAAGACTGACCAGCCAAAATATCCAGCCGCCCTCCTCCCCAGCTCTACCAAAACAACCCCACTCTATGCTTCTCCTTTCCCATTGGTAAAATGCAAGGAATGGTTTCTACCTGGGGTATTGCTGTGATGTTTAAAAGACATGGACATACATAGAACCTGTACCAATGCCTCACCTTCACATAGGAAGCCTGTAAAATGCATGCTATTTTTTAAAATTTATTTGTATATTGTACTTTGACTTAACTTCACTAGAAGGAAGGGTGCCACTGATTGGAAAGTCCCTGAAGAAGGCCAGGGACAAAGAAAAAATAGCCAATGGTTCATCCAGGGACCAAGAATATCTTGATTCTTGGGGCTCCTCCCCAAAGGAATTTGAAGGAAGAATTTGGCATTTGGGGTGAAAGGGTCTGATAGATATGACTGACAGTGATGCACCATAGTAATTAGTTTTATCCACTTTGGATAGACTTTTCCCTACTAAGCCCACCTTGCCAATCCCAGAGCTTAACAGCCTGTAAGAGTCAGACTGTGAGTCACAATGTTTCCTGGAAATATTCATTAAAAAGAGAAGGTTTATTTCATCTTATTTTGGGCCAGACAAAAAGACAAAGATGCAGGACGGGTCAGAGGCCAAGCAGAAAATCATCGACACAAGCAGACATTCTTTTGTTGTCTACTTATTTCTCAGTGTTTTTCTAATATGCACAACACTATGTGAAACCCTCTGGCTGCTATGGGAGAAGGTATTTTGTAAGGTACTTGCATATGTCAAACATTCCTCCAAATGAGCCTCAGTTCACTGCTCACAACTGCTTACTTAGAGAATGTATCACAAATCCTCAATAATTTAGGATTTGTAAAACCAAATTTTATCAGAATTTCATGTATCTGCACTTACAACACAAATTCCTTTGTCTCCTTCTACTCTTTTTAAAGTTATTATTAATGTCTAGTAACCAAAAAAAAAAAAAGAAAACAATAACAAAATGTGGCTGAATGTAGTTGTCTTCAAGTAACAAACCTGATCACAGTAATATGAACAAACTAGGAGTTATCTTTTCCATATCTCCACACAGGGAGATTTTGATAAAGGAATATACTAAAGGTGAAATGAAAATCAACATAATCAAAATTTATCTTTGGCTTCCCAAGTCTCCTTTAAGTCCCTTTCCTCCCTATTTGGGGCCCATACCATTCACTTATTCAACAGATATTGATAACTGCCTATGGCACACAGAGCATGGTTTTAGGTGCTGAGAATATGAACTTCAGTTGATGATGGAGCTGGATGCAGGGTAGGAATTTTTGCTTTTGCCTTTGCTGGTACAGTGGTAAAAGGCATTAAACTAGTAATTGTGAACATATGAATTGTGATGTGCTACAAATAAAGTGAACTGGCCATGGATGATAAAGGAAGTTAATTAAAGGAGACTTACTTATAGTGTTCTAGGAAGATTTCTCTGAGGCCCTGATGGGTAAAAAGGAGCTAGGTTTATATAGAGCTGAGAGACAAAATCGCCACGTGCAGAGACCCTTAAGAGTTTAGTGCTCTCAAGGACTGGAGGACCAACTTGTGTATCTGGTTTGTAGTGAGTGAAGACAGCAGGGGTTTGAGATCATATTGGAGAAGTAGACCAAGGCAAGATCATGCAGGGCCATGGTATAAATGTGGGGTTTTACTCTAAATGAAATGGAAAGCCATTGGGGTGTTTTAAACAAGAGAAGGGTTGATTTGCATGCTAAACTACCACTCTGGGAAGCTATAAAGAAAATGAGTTAAAGCAGAGAAGAGTCGAGAGGAGAAACAGAGGGGCTGAACAAGAGGCTCTCACAGCCATCCAGGAGAAATTACAGCGATGGAAATGACGATGATGGTCATGGACATGGATTTATGGTCTACTTGGAAACTGTAATTGACAGGACTTGCTGATGGAGTGGGTCTGTGAGGATGTAGACAGGGAGGACTCAAGGGTGAATCTGAGAGGGAGGGAGCATTTGGAAAACATGGACGCAGAGACTTTTAGCTCTGAGTAGGATCTGAGGATGCTCTGGTTTATCCATCTCATTACAGGTAAGGAAATTGAGACCTAAGAAGGTGTTTTTCCCTAATATCACCCAGGCAACACCCATGGCTCACGGATACTCAGACCAATCCTTCCCTACCACGAAGTCTCAACCCAAGGCACCATTACCTACAAGTAAACTAAGAGCAACTGTCTGAAACAGTCATTTCCCCATCCACCTCCATGGAGTTGCTACTTTCCTAGGTTAAGAAGAAGAGGGGTAGGAGGGTCCTTGGAGAATAGAGAAAAATGGGAAATTAAAATTTCAGGTTTCAGAAAGCGCCCTTTTTATCCTGTTCATACTCTGCATCAGCACAGATAATAATTATCTCTACCTGGTAAAGATAATTACTCTCAGTGAGAAGAAGTCTCGGGAGGGGGAGTGATGGCATTTTGGAGATCTCCCAGAACCCTAGATAACACGGGTACACACACACACACACACACACACACAGAGAGAGAGAGAGAGAGACACACACACACCCTTCAGCTAATTTACTTGTCGGGACTGACTCACCATGGGAACAGGGTAGGCAAGGAGGAAAACCCAAGCAGATAGCCAATGAAAGCTTGACCTTTGTATGCACATAAATTCCATGGCAACCAATATGCCTCCAGCATTGAGACATGATGAGAAAACCTCCCCCTGTACCTCCTGCTCTCCCTCCTACACTCGCAGAGAGGGGCATGGAGACCCATTTCTCTTGCTCATCTTGAGTGTCTTGCTCATCCTGAGGTCACCAGAGTGTTGTGGGGGAGAGAAGAAAGCTAAGA